CACATTCTTCTTAAGTGCACGTGGAACATTCTCTAGGACAGACCATACGTTAGGACAAAAAACAAGTTCAATAAGTTTTAAAATATCAACATTATGGGCTGGGCACAGTGGCTCCCACCTGTAATCCCAGCACTTGAGGAGGCTGAGGTGGGTGGATCACCTGAGGTCAGGAAACCCCCTGGCAACAGAGTGAAACACTGTCTCTTAAAAAAAAAAAGTGAGACCGGGCGTGGTGGCTCACGCCTGTAATCCCAGCACTTTGGGAGGCCAAGGAGGGCAGATCATGAGGTCAGGAGATCAAGACCATCCTGGCTAACATGCTGAAACCTTGTCTCTACTAAAAATACAAAAAGTTAGCCCGGTGTGGTGGCAGGTGCCTATAGTCCCAGCTACTCGGGAGGCTGAGGCAGGAGAATGGTGTGAACCCGGGAGGCGGAGCTTGCAGTGAGCCAAGATCATGCCACTGTACTCCAGCCTGGGTGACAGAGTGAGACACTGTCTCAAAAAAAAAAAAAAAAAAAGTGATACAGCCATACAATGGAATATTATTCAGCCATAAAAAATGAATGAAGTTATAGAAATGTTTTGGAACTAGATAGAAGTGGTGGTTGAACAACATTGTGAATGTAGGAAAAGCCACTTACATTTTCATTTAAATTAAAATTTCACTTTAATTTTTTTTTGAGATGGAGTTTTGCTCCCAGCCATGCCCAGCCCAGCTCCATTGTTTTCTAATGTCCTGAGTGGACTCTGATGTTTGGGTTTTTCTGTTGTCAGTGTCATCTTTGTGTTCTCTCTCTCTCTCAACATTTAGGATTTTCTCTTAATCTTTAGAATTCCGATATTTCACCCAGAAATGTGTAGGCAGGTGAGGATGCTTTCCCAGTAAACCTGCTCAGCATTTGGTAGGCCCTCTCCCTCCCCTCCCCTCCCCTCCCCTTCCCTTCCCTTTTTCCTTCCTTCCTTTCTTCCTTCCTTCCCTCCTTCTTTCTTTTTTTCTTTCTCTCTCTCTTCCTTCCTTCTTCTTCTTTTTTTTTTTTGAAACAGGGTCTTGCTTTGTCACCTAGGCTTTGTCACCCAGAGTGCAGTGTTGCAATCTTGGTTCGCTGCAGCCTCGACCTCCCAGCCTGAAGTGATTGATTTTCCCACTTCAGCCTCTGGAATAGCTGGGACTACAGGCGCGCACCAGTCTGCCTGGCTAATTTTTTTTTTTTTTTTTTTTTTGTAGAGACAGAGTTTTGCCATGTTGGCCAGGCTGATCTCTAACTCCTGAGCTCAAGCGATCCGCCTGCCTTGGCTTCCCAAAGTGCTGGGATTATAGGCGTGAGCCACCGCACCCTGCCTTGGTGGGTTAGTTTTAATTTAACTGAAATTTTTTTCCTATTTATTTTCTTCTCTTCATTTTCTCACCCTCTGTGACTCCTTTGAGATGGTTGTTGGATAAATCCTCCTGGATTTATCCTCTATGTCTTTCTTTTTTTCCAAAAGAGAAAAGTCTGCCTTTTTGCTTGATTTTCTAGATTTCCTTTATTTTTCAAATCATGAATTGGCATCTTAAATTATGTCTATTCTATTATTCAATCCCTCTGTTAAATTTTAAAATCTTGGCTGGATGTGGTGTCTCACGCCTGTAATCGCAGCATTCTGGGAGGTTGAGGCGAGTGGATCACTTGAGGTCAGGAGTTCGAAAGCAGCCCGGACAACATGGTGAAATCCCGTTTCTGTTAAAAATACAAAAAAAAAAATTAGCCAGACATGGTGGTAGGCACCTGTAATCGCAGGTACTTGGGAGGCTGAGGCAGGACAACTGCTTGAACCAGGGAGGTGGAGGTTGCAGTGAGCCAAGATGGCACCACTGCACTCCAGCCTGGGCGACGGAATGAGACTATCTCAACAACAGCAGCAACAAAAATTTAAAATCTTTGTTGTAGTTTCCCACACTCCTACTCCAAGAACTCTTGTTTGCTGGTTGCCCTTTTTGAGTCACTTTCGTTTGGAGGACACAGTATCTATTTGTATTCTGTGTGTATTAATTCATTAATTAGGCTTTTTGCTGAATCCGCATTCCAACCAGATGTGTAAGTGACATGCTCCACACCCAGGCCATTCCCCGCTCCAGACGGGTACTTACCTGATGTAGTTTTGTTCTGAAGGGGCATCTTCCTACAGCCCATGTCCCTCTCCCAGGGCCCTCTTCTTAGCATGATACCTGAAGTCTCGCTCAGCCCCAGCCCAGCCCCCACTTCATGCTCATTATACCCTGAGATTTGCAGAAACCCTGCCTGCTCACAAGTGTCGCCCTTGGAGTTGAGAGGAGTGACCAAAGTCGTTTAGGAAAGTTGACACTTTTCCACAGGATTCTGAGCCTAAGTCATATTTAGCTTACATTGTTAGGTAAAATTTATATACAATGAAATGCACAGATCTTAAGTATACTATTGAATGTTTTGACAAAAGTGTACACCTGTGTGACCAGCTCCTCCAAGAAGAGATGATATTTCTGGTACCCACAAAAGCTCCCTTTGGAGCTTTGGAAACATGTCTCTTTGGAAACATGAAAGGAAAATAAAATACTTGGGACCCCGGATTCACTGTGCCAAAAGAAACAAATTAAGCTGAGAGCTGAGTCATGCAAGAAGCCGCCTTTCCTTTTGTTCCTAAGCAGAGAGCTACAGATGAAAGGTGAAATACCTCCACAGGTAGCTGCTCTATGTTCATCTCATCTTATGTCAAATGCCGGTTTCCTGAGTGCCAGAAGAAGACGTCGTTCACTCTTCCCTACCTGCTCCTTTTCTCTTGCAACTTGTGGCTTCAGTAATGTGACTCTACTGAATGTGACTCTTTCTCTTTCCCTTTCAGCCCGCTTTGCCCCTGTAAATATTGAAGCCCTCATATCACATTTGGATGATTTGGAGAAAGGCACAGACCTGTTTCTGAGGCATTGTCCTTGACTGTGGCACCTTTTTTTTTTTTTTTTAAGATAGAGTCTTGCTGTCACCCAGGCTAGAGTGCAGTGGCGTGATCTCAGCTCACTGCAACCTCCACCTCCCGGGTTCAAGCAATTCTTCTGCCTCAGCCCCCAGAGTAGCTGGGACTACAGGTGTGTGCATGCCCGGTGAATTTTTGTATTTTTAGTAAAGACGGGGTTTCGCCATGCAGTACCGGCTGGTCTCAAACTCCTGGGCTCAAGTGCTCTGTCCACCTCAGCCTCCCAAAGTGCTGAGATTACAGGCATGAACCACTGGACCTGGCCAAAATAAACTTCTAAATCAATTGTGGCCTGTCTCAGATACTTTTTGGTTTACATAATCAATCCCCAAGCAACCACTGTTTTCTTTCACTGTATTTTTGCCTATTTTTGAACTGCTTAGAAATGGAATCATCTGGTATGTTTCTATAATGTGAAATCCCTCCTTGTTTTGTTGTATTCATAGTTTTTTTTTTTTTTTTTTTTTTTTTGGCTGTTGAATAGCGCATTCCGTTTTCTGAATGTAGCACATTTACCTCCTTTTGAACATGTGGCTGTTTCTAGTTTTTGGCTGTTAGGAACATTCTAGTATACCATTCCTCTTGGCTAAATACATAGGAGAAGAATTCTGGGTCATGTGGCGGGATAGTGTGCATTTTTGAGTTTTTCTCTACAAAGCTAGAGTTAGGTGTGCCTCACACTGCCTGGCCTGCAGGGGGCGCTGTGAGGCTACAGAAGGGACAGTGGACTTGAAGGGTAGAGGAGCCTGGGGCCACCCCAAGTTCCAGGTCTTCACCCCTAGAGGCCGCTGGCTGCCCGTCTGCCCACCTGAAGGACCTGCAGGGCCCTCCTTCCTCTCACACACCTTTGAGGCAGCAGCTAAGCACGTGGCATTCTCACAGCCTTCAGTGATCCCCTTGGCCCAAGTCATGATCCTGTCCCCAAAGCTCAGTGGACCCTCCCAGCCTGTCGCCCAGGCTGCGCTCGGGGCTCCACGCTTCCTCCTACATGCCCCCTTCCAGCTCCTCATGGGTCAGTTTGGGGCCTGGCTTTCCTGTCATGGAGACAACCCTTCCCCTGCCAGGATGGCTGGACTGTCCAGTGAGAGCAGGGCCTTCTCTGTTGGAAAGATCTGCAAAGCCTGCATGTGCGGACTCCAGGCCTTATGCTCAGGTCGTCAGTGGAGGGAGACACTCCAGATCCCAGAGGGAAACAGCCCCTAGGCTTCTCCTGTGCCCACCCTGCTCAGCCCATATGCCAGCCTGACTCAGACCCTTGGAGACCCTGATCTCTGAGGAATTGACACCCCCTGCCCTCCTCACCTCCACCGGAGTGAACCTCAGTGAGGATCAATACTAAGTTGCAGGCTGGGCACGGTGGCTCACGCCTGTAATCCCAGCACCCTGGGAGGCCAAGGAGGGTGGATCACCTGAGGTCAGGAGTTTGAGACCAGCCTGGCCAACATGGTAAAATCCTGTCTCTACTAGAGATACAGAAAATTAGCCAGGTGTGGTGGCAGATGCCTATAATACCAGCTACTCAAGGAGGCTGAGGCAGGAGAATTGCTTGAACCTGGGAGGTGTAGGTTGCGGTGAGCTGAGCCGAGATCACGTCATTGCACTCCAGCCTGGGCAACAAGAGCAAAACTCTGACTCACCAAAAAAAAAAAAAAAAAAAAAAAAACCTAAAAACTAAACTGCAAGGAAGGCCATCAGATTTATTTTTCTCATAACAATTGCTTGGATGCTTTTTTTAAAAAGTAAAATTAAAATAACCAGTGTGAACAAAATGATCTTTTTTTTTTCTGGTTTCTTGTCTTCCTCTGCCCCCGGTGCCCTGGCCCCCGCCCCCTGCCAGTTGGTTGCGGTCGCTAGCCGGAAACACCTACACTTCTGGTCCCCCAGGCCCTTGGTGCCCAGTAGCCTGGGAGCACTTCAGAAGCCTTGGCTCCTGGGCCCTGCCCTGGCATTACCCTCTGCACCCTGCCAATCAGTAACTTTTGCTGAATGAACAAAATAATGCTTACATCAACTTTAGGCTTTTAGAATCCATTAATCCATTCTTTTCCAAGCAAAGGTGGTAATGAAAATGGAAAAGAAAACCATTCTAGAAAGAAGACAAGGAAGAGAGTGGAAATGTATTGCTGTAAAATACACTGCCGTTTCAGACAGTAGGAGCCTCCTCCAAGTCATTTCTTTCCCTTTGCTGGCTCTGGTGGCTTGGCGGGCTCTGGTCCCTTGCCCTGCTGGGGTTCTTTTTCTTTGCCTGGAGGAGAAATCAGCCTATGCTTTTTGGCCCTCTTGCCTCTGAAGTTGTTTCTTTGAAGACACATATCGATCAAAGCAAAAACTCCAGCAACACCAATAAGGATCTGGAAAACAAAAGGGTCCTCATGACTTTTGCTTTTCATTCCAAACGTGGTGAGTTTCCCTCCTGGTTTCTCGTTCATCAGGGGGTGCTGTGTCACACGTCCCCCATGTCCCCTCAAATGTCAACCAGCCCTGAGAGGCTAGAAGCATGCCTACTCCTTCAGCCTCGGCCTTCTCCACTCCCCCATCCTGCCATCTCACCTGTTTCTTTTCTGTCTTGAAACCCAGCCAGAGTGGGACTGTTTGCTCTGGGGTCGGCAGCTACAGGAAGGAACCTGGGCTGGCTCCCCAGACATCATCTTTATTTAAATGGTGGCTCCATTGGAAACATCTGTCTACTTTACTTTTTTTTTCCTTTGAGACGAAGTCTCGCTCTGTCATCCAGGGTGGAGTGCAGTGCCACAATCTCTGCTGACTGCAACCTCTGCCTCCTGGATTTAAGCAATTCTCCTGCCTCAGCCTCCCAAGTTGCTGGGATTACAGGCATGCACCACCATGCCTAGCTAATTTTTGTATTTTTAGTAGAAAATACATTTTCTACTAAATTTTGTAAATTTTGTATTTTTATATTTCACCATGTTGGCCAGGCTGGTCTACAAACTCCTGACCTCAGGTGATCCACTCGCTTCGGCCTCCCAAAGTGCTGGGATTACAGGCATGAGCCACTGTGCCCGGCCTACTTCACTTTTAAACTTTACTTTGATCCCAAGATTTTTGTGAAAAATAAAGAAGCCCTTTCCTTAAACAGAGGACAACACTCATCCTCCAAAAGAGGTGAATTCAGAGCAAATGCACGGCCCAGCCTGGAAAGACTCACCACAGCAAGTAAGTAGTGGAGATGCATGGATCGCCGACTTCTCACAGCAAAGACCACGGCTCCCACCAGGAACGCACAGGCAAACAGGTCGTTGAAGAGGTCCTGAAGGTGGAGAGGTGAGTCAGCCTCAGCCAAAGCCAGGGCCCCCGGCAACAAACATTGCACCCTGGTTAGCTTCCTCCAAAGGAATGATTTGCAAACTTCCACCTGATTTAAAAACGTATGCATAAAGATAAACCCACACCGGGCTAGGTGGACATATCTGTGGCTCTCCAGCTGGGCTTTTTAAATTGAAACCTAAAAAGTCCAGGATGCTAAAATGCCCTCATGCTGAAGCCTGTGAAGTCACCAGCCCCCTCTTCTACCATCTCTCTGTGAAATCACACATTTGGTTTCTGCCTATGTCTCCTCCCACCAATACTCATTTATTATTTTTATTTTCTATTTTTTGAGACAGGGTCTTACTCTGATTACGCAGGCTGGAGTGTGGTGGCGCAATTTCTGCTCACTGCAGCCTCGACCTCCTCAGGCTCAGGTGATTCTCCCACCTCCGACTGCCACTACGGGCGTGTGCCACCAAGCCCAGCTAATTTTTTTTTTCTTTTTTTTTTTGTATTTTTAGTAGAGCTAGGGTTTCACCATGTTATCCAGGCTGGTCTCAAACTCCTGGACTCAAGCGATCTGCCTTCCTCAGCCTCCCAAAGTGCTGGGATTATAGGCCTGGGCCACAGCACCCAGTCAATACTCATTTAAATAAATACACAACTATAAAACATCATGATGTCCCTCTTAAGGACCCCACCACTGACTTTCAGCTCCCAGGGCCAGCTCCCCGCTCTGGCTGGGTGGGCTGCATTGGCTCTGATGGACTTTAGCATCTCATTGGGAGCCTGGCAGCTTCCTCTGCAACCTGCTGCCCTCAGCCTGACTTCCTAGACCCCTTTCCCTCCTTACAAGGTGGCACCACCTCTTCCTTCCTCAACCCTCCTGCCCATCCCCTGTGACTTCAGTCTCACCCTCCCCATACCATATACTCGTTTCCCTCCTGCTACTGGCAAGGCATTGCCAAACTTCTCAGAGCTGGCCAAACCATGGCCATAGCAGGCTGGCTTCCTCCCACATCTCTCCTGGGGCTAGAGGATGGGGTGAGAAGCAGCTGATCCTGCAGCGCTGGAAGACACCTGCCATTCCCCTTGGTTTCTATAATGCCATTTCCTGCTGTTGTCCTTCCCTGGCCACTTTGTTTCAGGCCTTTTCTTTTTTAATGTTTTGAATTTTGATACATTTCAAATGCCCAGAAAATAATAGAACATCCTACCTCCAACTCCCACCTCTACCAGGCCAGGAGCCACTGACATTTAACAGATGTTAACGTCTTGCCAATGTCCCCTTTAGGCCTCTCTGAAATCAAGAAATCCAACTTCACAGATGGAGCTGCAGCCCCCTCGCTTCCTTCCCGCTTCCTGTCCCTCATGCCTCCCTCCTCCAACTTTTGGAAGCTGATGTGTAGTTTTCCCGTCTGAATTTGTGCTTTTCTACATATTATATATTCATAAACAATGTATACTATTTTGTGTATTTCAAAATACACTTTTTATATTTAAATAAAAAGTATCCTACCTTTCAATGCTTGCTTTTTGCCTTTTGAGATTTATCCACATTGAGAAATATAGATTTATT